GGTCATAATGACTAATCAGTTACAAAATTCCCAAAAAATTTCCATTGTTTTTCTCACCAATCAAGTGACTGCTCCCTCGAAATTCTAATCCTCTTTCTCCTAGAAACAGCACGGTATCCAGAATTCGCGTCAAAATTTCCTGCCACTTTCTTGCTTCGCTCGCAATTTGTCCACAAATCAACATATCAACTGAAGATCGATTCAATACTCGTGTCTCTAGCTCTCGTCATTGTACGTAACATTCAACATGATCACTATTATTCTCATGTGATGGCAACTTATCGTATAGCTTTTTCCAGATCAGATCGGTTGAATATCCGTTGGGACGACAAAGAGATGACCGTTGCAACGTATTTTTACTCAAAAGACGACACGGTAGATAAAAGAAATCAAGTTTCTTGTGACTCCAAACTAACCAATCTCCCTTCTTCTTCTCGCCGTTGAGTAGGGTTTTAGATAAAAGAGTGACAGGAAATGGCCCTTCGGATCGATCAAGTGGAAAAGTTAAGGGCATTTCCTGGTGACCCTGACGCATGACCTGTTCAGCCTGATATGGGTCTAAAAACTCTTCGTGAAAATCTTCGTCGACTTTTGAGTTTTCTATATTATAAAATTCCATGGCTTCTTTTGTTGAATTATTTTCATGAATCTTTTCAGATGAGTGAATTGTGCAAGTTGATGATAGTGATTGTAAATAGTAGAGTGTTTTGTAATTGTATTGTGAATTACGGAGTAAATAAAAGACATTAGATAAATTCTTTATAACGAAAGAAACTGCAAATTGAATTGGCGAGTTTTTATTTAACAATCCAGAGATCGTACCCGAAGGTTTTAGAAAATAATCGAGGTTGATTTAGTAAAATCGTAACAATAGTAACGATAGGATAGTTGTGAACGCAGTTACTGCTTCGGACGCTCGTTTAAATTCATTAATCAAATAGATATCATTCAATTCCCCTTACTCCGAGGAACACAATCCTCTAAGCCCTATATATTGTGTAAGTAGAGCTACCGCTAAGACATTAGTAGCAGCAAACAATTGGCCTTCAAGTCCACTTCCCTCCACACTTGCCCCTTCTGCTACTAATACTTCGACTGCATCTAAGCAGATTGAAATAATTGCGACGCCGGAGCGTTTATTTACTTCAGCGCCTCCCTGGGTCTTAACCACATAAGAAAAGAGCTAGTTGTGGTTCCGAGAAGGAAGTCCGTATTTGTATTGACGAGTTGGGGATTAAGATAGAATAGAACTTAAATAAAAATGAAAATGAATGATTAATCTGGAACAATTTTTGTTTAAACAATTTTATTACCTTAGTTTGCATCACAATAGTATTTTAATAGGTAGCAACCCTAAAAAATATGCCTTCCTTGCTTTAGCTGATGCAAATTCCTCAATGATAATACCGAAGTCAAGTTTTCTAGCTAATTGAGATTCCAAACATAACGTTGCCAATCCTGAGACTCGAGATTGGTTTGAACAAGAACGATGATAGTTCTTTTTTCTTGAAAGTACGCTAAATGATCGCTCGGCGCTAGCAACTGAGACTGGCAACGTGCAAAATATCCGCAGACTAATGCAGATGTTTGGAAACAGTGTATCTAAATTTTTGGTGGTGGTAGCATTCAACAAATCGAATGGAGACAAACGAGTTGTACTACTCTCAGCAAAATTAGCCTGATAAACGTATTTTAAGTGAATGATTTTGCACGATATTTCGATTGACACATCAGCAGGGTATTTTTCAGCAAAACGTAGCGCAGCAGTCTGAACTTCTTCTACTTCCATTTTCGGAAACAACCACAAGAATGAAAACATGTTGTTGATTGCTCTTATTGAGGCAAATCTGATCCTTATTCTCGCGATGATCGAATTCATGATAACGAAGAAAGTGTTACGTTTGAAATCAATTTCTTCATCAGTATAATCTTCATCTGAAATGTTGTAACATTTTTGAACGACTCCGAAAAAAGTGATCGCCTTAGTACAGCATTAAGCGGTATCCACTCCAGCTAAATTAAGTGTGTGAGGTCCACATGGCCCGTAAATTGCATATGGATTTTGATTTAAAATTCGACTCTGAACACCTTTGTATTCCCCACTCATGTTTCTCCCATTATCATAAGCTTGTCCACGACATTCAGCTAATAGGATATCGTATTTGTTCAGAGTTTGACAAATTAAAGCAGCAATAAATTCAGCAGTTTTACCGTGGCAATCGACAAAAGCTAGAAAACGTTCTTCAATCTGATAAGTTTTCTCATTGGGTTGAAGCCGCACATACCTCAAAATGAATGTCGTTTGCTCCATCGTGTAGTACTTAGCTTCTGCTCGTTCTTTTAGGAATGCTCTTATAACATGTTGAGCACAGAGTTCGATGAATTCGTTTTGCACGTCAGCAGACAAGTAGTGTACTTGTAAACGATGATGTGACTGCTGCGAAGTTTTAACCTTTTCCAGATGTGAACGAAGCACGGGGTCATAATGACTAATCAGTTCCGAAATTCCCAAAAAATTTCCATTGTTTTTCTCACCAATCAAGTGACTGCTCCCTCGAAATTCTAATCCTCTTTCTCCTAGAAACAGCACGGTATCCAGAATTCGCGTCAAAATTTCCTGCCACTTTCTTGCTTCGCTCGCAATTTGTCCACAAATCAACATATCAACTGAAGATCGATTCAATACTCGTGTCTCTAGCTCTCGTCATTGTACGTAACATTCAACATGATCACTATTATTCTCATGTGATGGCAACTTATCGTATAGCTTTTTCCAGATCAGATCGGTTGAATATCCGTTGGGACGACAAAGAGATGACCGTTGCAACGTATTTTTACTCAAAAGACGACACGGTAGATAAAAGAAATCAAGTTTCTTGTGACTCCAAACTAACCAATCTCCCTTCTTCTTCTCGCCGTTGAGTAGGGTTTTAGATAAAAGAGTGACAGGAAATGGCCCTTCGGATCGATCAAGTGGAAAAGTTAAGGGCATTTCCTGGTGACCCTGACGCATGACCTGTTCAGCCTGATATGGGTCTAAAAACTCTTCGTGAAAATCTTCGTCGACTTTTGAGTTTTCTATATTATAAAATTCCATGGCTTCTTTTGTTGAATTATTTTCATGAATCTTTTCAGATAAATCATTGTTACCGGATTCGGCGGAGGCAGCATTCGTAGGCTGCAAGTTTTGGTCGATTGGAGACGAGTTTTGGTTGCTCTCTATTGTTATAGAACCACCGCTTGCACTTTCGACAGATCGTGGTCCTTTTTGAGAATAGAATGATGTGAGGGTTTTTTGACCTTTTTGAGCATCTTCAAATTTTTGCTCTCGTGCGGGTTTTTCCTTGCGCTTCTGACATCCGGACTTGCGAATAATAGTTAGAAGTATTCGTTGAGTACTTTTAACTGAAGTAAAAGACCGGCCCCCTTGCAATCTATGGGCCCGGAGGGAAAAGTCCCCGAGCCAACCCCCCTCTCATTGGGCCTGCGTGCGATCCTATATATCTGGCAAAGTAAATACAGTAAGCTTGGATATTAGGAAGCTCAATTTTTCCTGTGAAAGATCTATAGCTTCCCTTAAAATAGATGTTTACGCTGAATGCTTCGAGCTCATCATTTTGGCCGAATGGTTGATTTGAAGCAAAGAAATATTGGAAACAATCTTGCTCAATTACCTGTAGCCTCCTCTGAGCCAAAAAAAAAAACTGCTAACAGATATTAACCTGAATATTTACTATCAAATCGTGAGAGGTTTAAAAACTAAGCTGAAAGGCTTATGTATATTTACACAGCTAAATTGCGACTATAAAATCTTGGTTTTCTCCGAAGCTTGGATTAAACCAAATGTTTTCAACTCTGAAATCTTAGGGAACATCTTTGAAGTTTTTAGAGATGACCATTTAAATAAAATTGATGGTGGAGTTCTTACAAGAAGTATAGGACTGACGAATTCAAAATAACAGTACTTCGAATCCGAAGTCATTCTATAGTTTTGTTAATTCGAAACATCTATGAAAATGAATGATGAAGTCTCTAGCGATTGTTACAGGATTGCTGATATGTTGGCAGACTTTTTCGAATCTAATTATGCGCCGAACAAAAATTTAACCCGGAAGCCATTCATTTACCCTAACTTAATGCCTTCTATTTGTTTTGTAAAAGTACCACATATTTCTGCTGCTGTTGCTTATCACCATCACTGTACTTAAATTTTTTGCTGAATTTCTATATATACCATTAATGAACTTATGCAATGCTTCATTAAAGCAAAATTTATTAGTGGAAAGAGTCAAACATTGTACCTCTACATAAATCTGGTAGTAGATCTTCAATAGGGAATTACAGGGGGATAGCAAAGTTATGTTCTATCCCAAAAAAAATTTCAAAGCTATTATAACTGATCAATTTGCCCATTCCGTATCTTCTCATAACATGGGTTTTGTAAAGGAAAATCTACCCTATCTAACTTGGTAGATATCACCACCCATGTCAGTAATGGCTTCTAAAATGGTAATCAAACAGACTGACTTCAGCAAAGCATTTGACAAGGTCTCTCATTTTGGGTTTAATCCTTTCCTGATTGGTAGAAAACAAAAAGTAATTTTTAAATATTGTACATCACGTGAAATAGTAGTATCAAGGCAGTCACCTTGGTCCTTTACTCTTCCTTATATTAATCAATAACCTTCCAATTGTGGTCTTCATACTAAAATACTCACGTACGCAGATGATGTCAAGCTATTTAAATCAGTTCATTCTATTGAAGATAGAGAGCTTTTGCAACTTCAGGAAATAATTAAGTTAGGTGTTGCGATGCGAACTGTATGGGGAAATTTAAGTAAATGCAAATATATGTGTTTCTGCAGAAAATCTTTCTAATTCTTTGGCTATATGATACATAATCACAGAGTTGAATGAGTTACTGCCTTCATTGATTTAGGTGTATGAGTTTAGAAATCATATAAATGCTTGTGCTAATAAATCATAATGCTTTTTAGCTTTCATTAAACGTTCCTACTATTCGTGTTAAGAAATTTAAACTGGGATGCGAACAAGAATCTGCCTTCTCTGCTATGGGTATGTGGAGTTAATGGACGCCATTCACAGAGAGAGAGAGTTCTTAAAGGTGTTGAGTGAATATTGGTGAATGGCTTTAAGTGCCTGTCTGTACGGGTCACCACGCAGCCTCTATTAATATCTCTTGGGGTGCTTCCTTCAGTAGCTGCCGCAGCAACTCGTAACACAGATGTTTCGCTTTGCAAGTTATGCTCATGCGACATCAACATGTTTCCTGTCATGATCCTTAGGGTGGTGTTTAAGCAGGCCTGTAACTTCTTCAACTGTGTCTTGTTTGTCTCCGGCGCCCAGATGGGTGCAGCGTAGCTTTCAACCGGCCGACCAATTGCTTTGTACGTTGCTAGCAAAGTTTCTCTATCTTTTCCCCACATGGTGCCAGCTAACGCTTTGAGGATTTTGTTGCGACTTTAGATAAGCTTAGATAAGCTTTAGCTTCTGGAGGCTTATTCCTTAGAGGTCGATAGATTTGGAGGCTTCCGTCTTCCCGATGACCGCTCGAGCCTCTTCCCTGTATAAATGATGAGTCGTGCCACTTGTCACTTCAGTTGCAGTGTAAAAAGTCAGTTGATATAGCTTGCGCACTTTTTTGGGTCCGACGAGGAGCGATAACCGAATGAAATTTCCACCGCGTCATCGCGTCTCGTTGGTGTTGACAATGATTTGACTGTAGCTCAGAGATTGGTTGGCCCAAAGAAGAGGCTGTAGGATTGAGATCCCTCCTAAGAGGATTTCCGGAATCGGCATCACTAATAGAGTCACGTCTGGGTGCTAGCATCCCCGCTTCCGTCTGGAAATTATGGCGGCCGCTCACCGGTTGTGAAGTCAGTTGGAGTACTGAAGGGGGTTTGGTAATTTCCGTGTAGCCGGACTAGTTAACTTTTTTGACGAATGTCCGGTTGTCCACAGAAATGAAGTCTTGAGGACTATCAATCGAAGTTAGTATGGGTAAGTGGTCCGATACTAATTTCAGCATAGGTCGCCAGGCTATACTGTTTATCACCCTAGCACTCGCAATTGTTACTTTCGGAGAGCTTTGGATCGAACTCTAGTCATTGCACTAGTTGCATCTAACTGAAATGCCCTGAGGAGAAAGGTTTAGAGCAGGCTATCTGCGAGGTGTTGCTCAGTTAATGACTTTACGCATCTACATATTACCACACTCTTTATGTCGATCTTCATTATTTGACCAAGGATACAGTCCACACCAACTATGAATTCTACAGTAATGAACTTATGTAAAACGGTCTTGTCGACTTCACACGTTACTTTTCGTATACCCTTGGTGTCCAGTTACCGTACTCAATCTTGCTCTCGGCAAAGACCTTACCACTTTGTGGATCAAGTCAAATCGAATGATGGAGTGCGAATCGCCCGTATCCACAGAAAATATTGCTTATGTCCAGGCATGTATCTACAAGTTGATATTTGCGACTGTTGAACCAGTACACATTTTTTCCTTGATAAATTTTCACAAGGTTCGCTGTGTACACTGGTCTAAAAAATCGCGGCCGTTTCCCATATTTGAACGTTCGAGACAGTTTAAAAAATATTGGCGTTGTAATCGCATACGCCTCCCGCTTGGTGTACATATCCCTCACTCATTTTTTCCTTGATAAATTTTAGCATTTCTTTCTATCTTCACAACGTTCGCTGTGTACACTGGTCTAAAAATATGCGACCGTTTACTATGTTTGAACGCTCGAGACAGTTTCAAAAATTTTTGGCTTTGCAATAGCATATGCCTCCCGCTTGGTGTACATATCCCTAATTTCGCTCGTCAACTTCTGTATTTAACCCTTTCAAGGCCAAATGAGCCAGCCGCTCAATCTGCCAAGCAAACACTTGATTGTCTCATTGGGCTATTAGTTACAGCTCTACAGTTCCATTTGGTACACTTTGTTCTGGAGGTCTTTACCACAACACTTCGGTAACAATTTGCTGGATATAGGCTGCAGCTCCAGTTATTGCTAGGAATAGGGTTGCAATTTTATTCTCCATACCTTTGTCATGTAGTTCATGCTGTGTTTTCCCGACCTTGTATTGCCGTTTTTTGATTCCATCCTGAACAGTTGTGATGAAATCTTTTATGGGATGCGGATACCGTATGCATCCATTGTGGGGTATTGGAATCAATATTATGTTCATGCCTATACATGCAGATGAGCTAGGATTACTTTCTTCAATACGCAATTTTTGTGTGCGTAAAGTACTAGCAAACTTAGAAATATGAAAATTTCCATCGGTTTCAGTGAATGCTTGAATGCCGATTTCACCATCTCCGGTTAAACACCTAATCATAGCATAAAATTCACAATGTCCGGTTAAGGCGCATCTGCCAATTAAGTTGCGGTTAACTTAACACCAACATTAAGTGGCGATTAGCTCTTAACCAGAAGGTAATTTGACAGCTGAGAATAGGGAAATAATAAAAACAATTATATTCCGGTGTTAATTTTAAAATAAATTCAATTAAGGGAAATTAGGAAAGCACTGACTATCTGGCTGAGTCTGGCATCTGGCTGAGGTATTCTTGTCGGAGTCCAATAATTTGGAGAAGAAACTTCCGAAAGTTTTTGAAGAAGAAAAGGGTACTTGGAAAATAGAAATAACGGACTTTGTATGCAGGTGACCTGGTTTTGGACAGCATTATTTTTAATAATAGTTGTCTGAACTACCACATTCTACTTCATTGGGCTACAGAGTCAGCAACTACATGTTGGGTCAACTTTTACATCATAATCTTTGGGCTGAGCGGCTTAACAATGAATCTCGAATCCGTAATTGAAATTGCATAAAGAAGGCCTATGAAGTATGGAAACCGCGTTGCCCAATATGAAGTAAAAGTTCAAGCACATTAACCAGCAAAAACATTCTTTGATACCGACGAAAGCTAAAATTAAAAAAAAAAAACAATTATAACATACATATTATACATGTATTTTAAAACAAACAAAGTCTTTTTTCCAAATATAATTATATGAAATGAATTTCATTAAATATTATTTTTAAATAAATAAACAAATACCAGCTGTCGTACAGTTTTGATGTATTCACAAACAAAATTTTTGTAAATTTAGCTGTGAGCCAATCGGGTGAAAAGTGTAAATTTTGACAGCTAACATTGAAATTCTGACTCTTTTCGTGGTGAGTACAAAGGTCAGAATTAAAATTTTCATAGTTGGGCTGTGCGCCTATCGTGTTAAAATGAGATGGAAATAATTTAATATGGTATGAAAAATTTTACATTTTGCTGTGCCAAATGAAATTTTAATTTTTGAAGTGAGAAATTCGAATATATTTTTTTCGCATTGGTAAAAAATGTTTCCACTAATAAGACAGAAGCAATGAATTCAATTAATTATTTATTGTTATTTAGAGTTTTAGGCAACGGGCTAGTCGCCAGGTAATACTTGTGTCAAAACAATTATGTTCAGTGATGAAAAGAAAATTCGGGCACATTTAAGAGTTTCTTACAGCACGTTCACAAAAATTGTCCAAGAAATTCCCACAAAGCATCACGAATATTACGTTATTGGCTTTTCATATTGGATGGCAAGTCGCTGCATTCATTTGTTATTGTTATTGTTATGTTGTTATACTCTTCAAACGGCTGTAGGTCCTTTATGAGGAGCCTTTATTTCGTGTCCGAAATACGCTAGAAGGGGTTGACATTCCCTGACGAGGGGCGACCGCAATTAGAAAATTTAACCTCATTTTTTATTTAAATTAATTTTCTATAACTTTTGAATGTTGGTAGTACCAGGATTTTAACCCCGGTCTTCCGAGTGGCTGTACGCAATGCTAACCACTCGACTACCGCGACAGCGTCTTTTCCTCTTTTTTCACTGTTATTGTTTAACAAAACCCTTTTGGATCTGTTTTATTTTCAAAATTTGGGGGCAGAACTCATGGAATATTGGACTGTATAATAAATTCAAATATCACAAACGAACATTAATTTTTTTTTCGTGTTTTTTTATTACATATTTTTATTTTTTGTTTTAAAGGTTTGTTAATTTAATTTTGCGACCAACTTAGGCCATATCTGTCTGGTGATGTTGCCGGTGACCTTATTCAGTCATCTTGAGTTTGCTTCTTTATCAAAGCCCAACTTACTTTGCCGTGGATATAAGAGTTATTTCCCTCGCTAGTTTGTCTATCATGCAATTGCCTGGGATGTTACTGTGTCCAGGTAGACAGACTATACATTTTTCATTGTACCATTAATATCATTGCCATGTTTTAAAAAGAATTTGACTATCTCAGACTGGAATATTAATAAAGAATCATTTAAATTACCATCGATATTATGATTTAATCTCGTATATTATTAAACTTATCATTTTTCAGTATTATACATACATCCAGGCAAGAATTTTTGGATTTTGTGGTACATTGGAATCATTCAATGCAGCAAATCGGAGTTTGAGAAGCGTGCGCATAAGCATATGAAGCCACACGCGTCAATGCATCGCTGACAAAAATCCTAATTAGCGTGTTACTCAGCAAATTCTAGCTAAATATAGATTTGTCACACTCACATATACCCATTACCATGATGCCACCTCCTACACAGCCCGACTCGTACAACTACCTCAAGGTAGCTGAATGTGACAAAGAAGTATTCTACGGAGGATACGAAGACTGGCTCTCATTCAGGGCCATGTTCACAGCAGTGTACGTCAATCACCCCAAATTCTCCCAAGCACAAAAGCTGTACGACTTAAGGCAGAAAACAAGAGGAAAAGCTGACCTAATCATATAAAATTACGCCCTCAATTATCTTAATTTCACTCTCGCATGGGATGCTCTGAAGTCCCGCCACGAAAATTGTAAAATAGTCGTTGATGGCCAAATCGAGACCCTATTCAGCATCCAACCAGCCCACACGGAAAACGGGAAAGGATACAAAAATTCAGACTATAATCAACAACTGCCTCTTCACCCTCTAGGTAAATGGAGTAGCCACAGGAAGCTGGGACCTGATATTAATATTTCCCTGCTCCTCAAAGCTCCCTGACGAAACACTAACGCTGTGGAAATAGTTTCTAAACTCAAGAAAAAAGTTACCCCTATGGTCAGAAATTGATCAATTTCTCACTGATAGGTACGAAGTTATAGAAGGGCTTAGCACATATAGGCCGAACAAATAAAACAATCTCAACCAAGCTACCCCCAAAGAGCTTCAGTGCCACCTCAATTTCAGAACTTCCGGAACAAAACTCAATCGTTTCACACTCAACCGAAAAAGCCGGTTACAATCAAAATATGCAACTCGAACCACTCGCCGAAAAAGCCGGTTACAATCAAAATATACAACTCGAATCACTCGCTGGCAATGTGTACAAAGTTCAAGCAATTGTCCATCCCCGATCGTAATAAGTTTGTTAAAGAAAATAGATATTCCAAAAATTGTTTTGCGTAAGCAAAAAAAAAAAACAGTGCCACATCCCAAGTGGCAGTCGAATTTGAAAAGCCCAGGGCCTCTCAACAGGCGAGAATACCAGGCAATACTTAGACTGATAATGAAAATATACTAAGACATTTCTCTTGCAGCGATACGAGAACACTGCTTCCCACAGAAATGATACTGATTCTTTATGAAGAAAAAATAACGAAAATAAGGGTCCTCATTGACGAAGGCTATCAAAAAACTTTTTTAACTTCCCATGTACAAAAGTCACTTGGTGTACCGGTATCAAAAACCCACCATGATATTTATGGAATATGAGGACAAACTACCAACAAAATTTGCACGTTAACAATTTGTTCCTAATAACTCGAAACAAAAATTACTTCTCATGCTAAAGTGCTACCCCAATTAACTCAATTTCTGCCCTCATTTAAAGTAAAGGATTTTAACTTGATGAATATATTTCACTACCCCTAGCGGATCACAACTGCTTTACCCCAGCCAAAATTGATATGGTCATCAGGAGCATTATCCTCCCGAAAATACTCGCTCCAGGACTCAAAAACAGCGTGAATCTACTAAGAGGCAGACACTCCACAAACCTGCCCGGTAGGTTGACCGAAGGCCAAAATAAAAAGCGCGAAACTCCAAACTCAGAGACTCCCAAAAATAAGCTATAACCTATCTCACATTCTCATGGAAATTCTCCCCAGCAAACTCGATCAAAGAGAACACCCGAAAGTTCCCGTAGAAAACGTCTCACATTCACCTAAAACCCCCATAAAGTAGGTCTGACTCCTGAATCTGGAACCAGCAACACAAAATGTCTCACCTCTGAGAATAGACAAATAGCACACAGGCCTGGAGATATTACTAGCCAATCCGTTTCTTCCCCAAAAAGCACTTGCACCCCACGTACTAACTCTGTAGGCAGCCATCATGCTCATGATGCCCCAATCGCAGAAGTTCTCACAGAGACAACATTTTTCCAAAATTGCATCATCACCACAGGACGAAAGGCATTTCTCAAAGAACTACAAAGCCCGAAATGCACTCAGTTCACCCCCAATACAGCGTCGTTGAAGATCCAGTACCCCAATTCAACACATTGCTCACAATGCCGAAAATTCTCAGACGGCGCCCAGATCTCCTAACTCCTGGCCAGAAACTCACAAGAACTCATTCCGCTGGAACAAAGTACCTCAAACTCACATCAGAACCTTCACAATCTCATTCTCAACATCCCCACATCTCATACAACGGACGACAGTTATTCGACGGACAGTTGCCATTTCTGTAGTCTACCTTCACACTCAATATTCCATCGTTACTCCACGGCAACACGTCCAGGAGCTCATTCCAGTTACGATCCCGTAGGCCCGACGGCATTTTGAAGATATAGTATAATTAGAAACTTAAATTTCAAATACATCGGAATTCATACTCATGTTTATTTTAACTATTCAAAATATGTTAATATTGTTGCGAAAATGCGAGGCGAATGTCAGATGAAAGAGAGAAGCCGATAACTAGTACGATAAAA